GTGAAATGTACATCTTCTCATATCTAATTGTTTACAAAAGCACAACTGTCCTACACTCTACATTTTTTGTGAGCATCTTCCCATTAAAAAATATACGTAGGAATCTCCCGAGCAACCTCTATTTCATATACTACTCTGCTCTATTACTGTCTCAAATTTCCTTTTTTAAAAAGATTTTATTTGAGTGAGAGAGAGAGAGAGAGAGAGCACGCGCATGCATGGGTGGGGGGGGGGAGGATGAGAGAGAAGTAGAAGTAGACCCTGCAATGAGCACAGAGCCTGATGCAGGACTCAATCCTGGGACTCGGATCATGATCTGAGCTGAAGGCAGTTGCTTAACCAACTGAACCACCACTCCTGTCTCAAATTTCTGCACAATTTTTTAGTATGTAATCAAAATAAATCTGTTTGGAATGACTTTGAGAAATACACAATATACACTTGCATTTATCAATTAAGGAACAGTTCTTCAGGCTTTCTCTCCCATAAACCCACTTTCCAAACAAAAAATACAAACATGCTTTTTCAAATATACAAAATTTATATATGTACATTTTTTCATTTAATAAATATCTTACTGAACACCTACTATGTGCCAGTCACTGTCCCAGTTGTTACACTAGTTAGTACACTAGTATACAGGCACAGTCCCTTCTCAGAAAGAATTTAAAATCATTTAAATTATAAGATACAAAATCATTAAACAACTATTCAAGACTATATATTGTTCTTGCTCCCCATAGTATATGTATACATTAACTCATGTATACATATACATGATAATAATAACGCATGATAATTTCAAAATCAAGAAGAAATCCATTGGTCACTTCTTCAATCTTCTTTCTTTTCTTTTTTGCTAAGTCTATATATTTTAAACAAAGTCAAAGGTGACAATCTTGAAAGAAATAAATGTGAATATTACAAAATGAAAGTCACTTTCATAAATTTTTTTAAACTTCACAGTAAGAATATCGTCTTTTTTTTTTTTTTAAATTGTGGCTATAATACACATAAATTTTACCATTTTATACAATTGTGTGGCATGAAGTCCAGTTACGCTGTTGTGTAACTATTACCACATTCCATCTCCAGAACCTTTTCATCTACACCAACTGAAACTGTACCCATTGAATACTGTCCATGCCTTCATCCCCTCAGCCCCTGGACACCACAATTCTACTTTCTGTTTTGATGAACTTGCTTACTTTAGGTACTTTATATAAATGGAATCATAAAGTATTTTTTTGAGTCTGGCTTATTTTACTTAAGATAACCTTTATCAAGGTTCATCAGTGCTGTTGCATATATCAGACTTTCCTTTTTATACCTGAGTAGCATTCAATTGTGTATATATACATTTTGTTTGTCCATTTATCTGTCTATGGACATTTAAGCTGCTTTGCTCTTTTGGCTATTATGATTAACTTGCTGTTATAAACATGGTACACAAATATCTATTTTGAATCCTGCTTTCAATTCTTTTGGGTCTAAACCCCAGGATTACATGGCACTTAACTCTATTTTTCATTTTTTGAAAAACTGCCACACTGTCTTCCATAGTAGGCTCTATCACTTTACACCGCCATCAGAAATGCAAGAGTTCCAATTTCTCCACATCCTTGCTAACATTTATTTTCTTTTAAAAATAATAGCCACCCTTATGGATATGAAGTAGTATCTTTGTGTGGTTTTGATTTTTTACTTCCGTAATGAGTAGTCTTTTGAGCATCTTCTGTTTATTGGTCATCTGTATATCTTCCTTAGTGAAATGTCTATTCAAGTCCTTTGCTCACTTTTTAACTGGGTTGTTTGGTTTTGTTGTTGTTGTTGAATTATAAAAGTTCTTTATGTATTCTGGATATAAGTTACCTATCAGATATATGATTTTCAAGCATTTTCTTCCATTCTCTAGGCTGCTTTTTCACTGTTGATAGTATCTTTGATGCACAAAAGTTTTAAGTTTTGATGGAGTCCAATTTACCTTTGTGTTGTTGCTGCCTGTGGTGCACTATAAATTGCTACCAAGTCCAATGTCATCAGGTTTTCCCTATAGTTTTCTTCTAAGAGTTTTAGTTTTAGTTCTTACATTTAAGTCTTTGATCCATTTTAATTTTTACGTATGGTATAAGGTATTACTTTATATGTTGATATCCAGTCCTTTTCCCATTGAATTTTTTTTTTTAAAGTAAGCTGTGCCAAATGTGGAACTTAAAATCATACCCCTGAGATCAAGAGTCACATGTTCTACCAACTGAACCAGCTGAATGGTCTTGGCACACATATTAAAAATCATTTCATCATATATGTGAGGGTTTATTTCTAAGGCCCTCTAGTCTATTCCATTGGTCTATATGTCTGTCTTTATGCTAGTACCATACTGTTTGATTACCAGGACCTTGCATGAACTTTTGAAATCAGAAGTGTGAGATCTCCAAATCTGTTTTTTCAACATTGTTTTGGCCATTTGTTGTCCCTTGAGAGCTTCTGTATACATTTTAGAGCAGTTTTTCTATTTCTACAAAAATGTCATTGGGATTTTGACAGGGATTGCATTGAATCTGTAGATCATTTGGATAATACTGTCATCTTAACAATACCAAGACTCCCAAAACATGAATACAGGATATTTTTCATTCTTCTAGAAAACCATGAGAGAGGTCTCTTCTCTCCCTTCAAATTTCCATACTCTCTCTCCTTTCCTCCTCATTTTCACCCAGGAAACAGAAGCTATTAAAAGAAAATTTTTGTCAATTTCTACTACATCTACTTACATATATATATATATATATATGCTGATATAACTCTTCCTTCTCTGTATAATGGATAAGCAATCACTGTTCTTAAGATACAAACCTTCTCTTATATACTATATTTTATCCTCTCTTGCTCACTTAAGGATATTCCTTTGGCACTCTCCCCTGCATCTTTAGTTTTTCTACTGGATCATTCTTACCACTAAAAAACCCACTATAATTTCTCTCATCTTAATATCATCTCTTAGAGGTTACTGCAATTTTATCACTGATGTTTTAATAAACACCCTCAGGGGAAGATATTTTCCTATTTTTATTTCTACTTTTAACGGAGATAATAAAAAAGAACTGCTTTCTATTTGAAAGCCTGATAGATTTAAGCTATTAGCAAAAGTACCTTTCACATTCAAGAAAAATATGGAAATTCTTGATTTAAATGTATGAATAAATTGAATAATTCCAGTAGAGGAGTTCCAGCCAGATAAATCTCCCTTTACCTGTGTTTAACAATAAAACAACAATAATCTCCCAGTCTAGTAAGTTTTGAGTCTTCCTTTCCACTTATAATGACCTTCTAAAGTAGGTTTTATATTATCATTTCAAGGAGGTTTTTTTTTTTAAAGATTTTATTTATTTCAGAGAGAGAGAGAGGGAGGGAGGGAGTGAGCAAGGGGGGAGGGGTAGGGGTAGAGGAAGAGCAGAATCCCCACTGAGCAGGGAACCAGATGTGGAACTCAATCCCAGGACCCTGAGATCATGACCTGAGCCAAAGGCAGATGCTTAACTGACTTGAGCCACCCAGGCGCCCCAAGAAGGGGTTATTTTAAACTATAAATTTCTTTGAATCTACAGAGGGCTTCATCACATGATAGAGATATTCAGATATTAATACATGCCATGAAAATATTTTTGCTCTTTTGTTTGGACATACCCACTATGTATTAGTACATTGCACTGGGTTTTTTAAATATTTAACTTCACTTTTAATCTGGTATCAAGACTATTTGTAATAACTACTTTCTTCAAGTATGCTTCAAATCCTGCAACATAAACCTGGTAAGGAGCTGGCTACATAGTCCCTGGGTCACAGAATGACTATACTTGCTCAGGCCAATGGAATACTACACTCATGGTATGAAATGTTGATTACTTACCTGGAGAAAATTTAAAATTAGTCATGCTGTAATATCTTCAAGAATAGGCCCAAGTTATGGGGTTTAACTAAACTGCGTGACAATTTTATTTAACGTAATAATTTTTTATTACCCTATTAAGAAACTGAAAGTTTTGGGGAGCTTTGGTGGCTCAGTTGCTTAATACAGACAGATAAACACCCAAAATATCAAGGTTTGTGTAATTAGGACCTATCCAGTATTTCCTACTTCTTTCCGATTAGAACCCTCTACCACTCCAGTTAAAAAGTCTCTTTTAAGAGACATGACAACCCAATACGGTATGTGGACCTTTCTAAAATAATCAGGAATTTCAAGAGAAACTAAATGTTATTACAGTAAGGGATTATTATTCATTTTATTATTATAAGTATTGGTGGCTATACATTTAGGGAAAAGATTCCTGTAAGTTAGAGAAGCATAGAAAGTATTTATAAGTGGACAAAAACTGATCAGGCATGTGCTGTGGCCACCAGGTAAATAGCAAATGGAATAAAATTACTTATCATGCTTTTAATAAATTGTTTTCAGTTCTTTATTCTCCTAAGCTATATATTCCCACCTGCTCTCTGAATCTTCACTGAAGCTGCTGCTGGAGGCTAAAATACTCCTAATCCCCTTTCTATTTATTCCTACTTTGAGGACAACTTAAGTGTATTCTCTCTAGTGCATTCTTACGTCAACCTTTCTGGATGATACTGAATTGCCCATTTATAAGAACTTCTGAATAGAGAAAATTATTCTCAATTCTGAGTACTGTGTTGAGCAAATAACTGGCTTAATTATTTTATATCTATCATCCATTCAATCTATTCAAACTGGACAACCTATACACCTACCAATGCTTCCTGGTATGGTCCACACCATTTTTCTACTTTTATACCTTAGTCCACTAAAAACATTATAGTACCTCCATTCCGTAAACTGTGCTTTCCATTTTGCTGGCTAAAAGAAAAGCCACATTCCTTAACTAGATATGGGAAGAGCCTTACTGGTTAGATGCAGAACCAAACAAAGAGCTATTAAAAAAAATTAGAAAACAGTACCATTCAGTTCTTGTCCTTTACCTTTATCAAAGTCCTAGTTCCAAGTGTGGTGGTTTATATTCTGGCTTGTAGGCTTTTAATTATCTTTATTAGCTTTTGATATATATCAACTTTTCATTTCTATGATCTTCTAAGGAAAAAAACAGTCATTTTGAAAGGTTAGACAGCTTAAGAAGTCAACTTGAAGATGAATCTGAGTACACAGAAATCTTTAAATACCTTAGTTTTCATATTAGGTAAAAAATTTAATAAAAACTTAAAACACAATAAAAAAGCTACAAATTTTATATGCATTAATGGTTTTCACCCCTCATCTCCTTGTAAATGATTTGTCACTCCAATTTTGATTCCATTAACATTTTTGTTTGGGCATATCTACTTTCTATCTTAATGCTGCTGTAATTTCAGTTAATCTAGTTTATATAAGGCATTACTGCACTTAACAAAAACATAAAAAATTCTAGGTATCTCTCCTAGGCTCTAAAATCATCCTGAGTGCAAAAGAGTTTAATAGTAAATTTCTGCATTTCCAATTTTATCAATATAATAAACAGCAGAAATAGTTTACTGAGGCAGCAAAGATACAGAACAGTGAATTTCAATCTGGGAGACCCAAGATGGAATCCTGGCTTTACCCTTCATGAATCCTTATCTTCAGTAAGTTATTTCAATACATGGAACCTTGAGTTTCCTTTTTGTAAAATGGGTTAGTAATGCCCAGTTCATAGCCCTGTTAAAACTGTACAAATTTAAACTTTTATGAACACATCTAGTAGTGAACAGGTATTTAATAAGTGACTGCTGAATGTAACTTCATAGGGTTTGCAACATACTTTGGACAAACAGGGTTTCAGTGGACTGTGATTGAACATGAACCAACAGTGCTGATGACAAAGAGAAAGTTAGTGGAATAAGGCAGGGTGCACTAACAGATCTTATTCATAAGAGAAATACTGTACTGTGTACCTCAAACCACACAGAGAACACTCAGTTCTGTATGCAATATTTTTGAAGGAATACTGACAAAACGTAGTGGATCCAAAAGTGGAATATGCAGGATACTAGTGATCTAGAATTCATACTATGAGAACCAGTGGAAAGACTTAGGTATGCTCAGCCTAGAGAAAAGACAGAAAAACTATTTTTAGAAGACCTATCTAGGGCCAAAGGATGAAATTATATAATGAACTGAAATCTCTCTTATGAGAATTTTATTTTTTTATCAATTATTACAAATGACTTAATTTATACCATTAAGGAAAAAAGCTTATCTATTATGGTTCTAATTCTAAAACTCTGAGGATTAAAATAAAATGACTATAGATCAATTAAAAATTTGAATTTTAGGAGCACCTGGGTGGCTCAGTGGGTTAAAGCCTCTGCCTTTGGCTCAGGTCATGATCTCAGGGTCCTGGGATGGAACCCCGCATCGGGCTCTCTGCTCAGCGGGGAGCCTGCTTCCCTTCCTTTCTCTCTGCCTACTTGTGATCTCTCTCTCTGTGTCAAAAAAAAAAAAAAAAAAAAAGGACTTTTATGGCCTTCTAGGTGGCTCAGTCAGGTAAGCAGCCTGAGATCCGGTTACAACTCAGGTCATGGGGCGCCTGGGTGGCTCAGTGGGTTAAGCCTCTGCCTTCGGCTCAGGTCATGGTCTCAGGGGCCTGGGATTGAGCCCCGCATCGGGCTCTCTGCTCAGCGGGGAGCCTGCTTCCCCCTCTCTCTCTGCCTGCCTCTCTGCCTACTTATGATCTCTCTGTCAAATAAATAAATAAAATCTTAAAAACAAAACAAAACAAAACAAAACAAAACAAAACAAAACAAAAACTCAGGTCATGATCTTGGGGTTGTGAGATCAAGCCCTGTGTGGGCCTCTGTGCTTAGTGGGGAGTCTGCTTAAGATGCTCTTCCTCTCCCTTTCCTTCTGCCCCTCTGTGTGCTCTCTCTCTCAAGTAAATAAAATTTAAAAAAACTGACTTTTAGAAAATTTCAAGCTGTCTTATTAAGGATTTGAAGAACAATCTGCATTTAAGTTCTGACAATAGGGCATTAACTATAAGGGGCATAAAGAAATAACTTGAGGAGAAAATTAAATGAAAATGAAACCGAAAAAAATTTTAAGAAATTTATTTACTGTATGTACCAGGAAGACTGAAACTAGCAGTCTAGACTAAAAAGTCAGGTGTGACTACTGACAACCTGACATGTATCTGTTTCAATTCTGCATTCAATTTATTCCTGTTTCATACAGAAATTACCTTGAAAACTCAATTTTAGTCAAAAAGATAGTGTCAAAGGGCAAGACTGCACTGAATAGTCTAGGACTGTTACCTATGTAGTATGTACGCTTAAACTTGAAATCCCTATTACAGCAGAATTTATCATATGTGTATGTTTATTTCCTATTTTAATTAAGGCCTGTGCTATTAAATTTTCCCTTGTTTTCATTTTCCTAAGAAAACATCAAAAGTAACTTCATAAATAAGAAATTCCCTCTCAATATTCTTTGACTCATCCATCTTGAACTGAGAAGTTGCTCAGGAAGGGTAAATAATGACTCCAACTCCTTTCTGTAATATTGGCACTAAAACTCAAATTTTATGGCTACCACTTTGTTGACAGCAGAAACAGCCTTGCATAGACAAAAGATCAGATTTTATTAATTTAAATTACTCTGTTGAACACATATATGTCAAACATTTAAGATCTTAAAGACAGGAACAATTGACATTTAATTAAACATTATCTAATTCTCAAAAAGAGCAGTTATTTGACCAATGACTGAAAAACGGTTGTAGCACATTGTAAATTTTCTCTATGCTCATAACCTTAGGACTTACCCTTGTAAGAGCTTAGACTTGATATATTTAACTAAATTAATATCAAATGGTATTTGCAAGCCTTCTTTACTACTAAATGCTGACAGTACCTAGCACCCTTGTAAATTTTTGATTGTAAACACTGCTTACCACTAATCAAAGTGCCGAAAGAGCAATCTGTTCTTTTTTTATCTCTTTTGTCACAAATCTTTCTCCCAGAAACATTCACATTATAAAATTATTCAAGATAATTAAAATTTCCTCATGAGTGCCACAGGTAGATAGCAATTTATAGAAAAGTAAATTTCAATCACAAATATGTAAAAATAGACTATTCAGCTATATTTAGTAACTCATACCAAAAGCATTACATTTTCATTGAAAATACAACAGAATTTATATCAGTTGCAATATTAATTACTTACTGCCCTACTAACATTCTGATTTTACTTACAGTACTTTTAGTCAGCCCCACATTTACATTACTTTTTGTAAAGATTTTACTTACTTATTTGTGAGAGAGAACATGGAGGAGGGGGGAAGGGAATTAGAGTCTTTGCTGAACAGGAAAGCTGGGCGGGGTGGAGGTGGGGGTGGCGGTGGGGTTGTACTCCGGGGCCCTTGATCCCAGGACTCTGGGATCATGACTGAGCTGAAGGCAGATGCTTAACTGCCTGAGCCACCTAAGTCTTCCTACATTATTTATAATTCAAGAAATGACAATTTTTTTCTAATATGGTATAATTGCATGCCATTGCTATTCTCTTAACTTTGATAACATTTCTAAAAACTTACCTACTCAGTCCAATGTGAGAAATAATTTTTGTCATTTATATTTATATTAGACTAGTTCTCTATAACAGGAAAATAATCAGTCTCCTAAATTACAAGGTCACTTGTTTCCATGACCTTTTTTTAAATTTTTTTATAGGACTAACAATGACAGCCCTGAATGAATTTTCTGCTTTATCTTCTGTTTCTTATTTAAAAAGTCAGTGTCTTAAAATTTCTGCTGTAATAGATTAGAAAGAAGCAATGATCTTAACTGCTGACAGTGTACCTAAAGGTGTTATTTCATTTAGCACCAAATGACATACCTAGTTATTTTAAGTTTATACAACGGAAATATGTAATTTAAGCATATGTACCCCAAACTGCAACGTAAAAAAGCAAAATACTGCTCAAAAAAGAAAAAGTGGGAAATTAAGGAAAGAAATATGATTATTTCTGAACGTTTTATGTTAAGCAATAAATATAAAAATGAACCAAAAATATGTAAAAATGAACCTGAAACACTGCTATTATTTAATTCTGACAGCATTAGATATAATGAAACACCAATATTCTATAAATTCTGGAATATCCACATTCTGAATAGTTTAAAAAAATACCCCTTTCTTGAAGAAAGAATGGCATTAAACAAACATAAGAGAATGACAGATGAGGGGATATACCCACATAATCATATAAAATTACTGAATACTGTCACTATGTACCCATTTTTCTAGGCACCGTTTAATTGGAAAAATCACCATTTTAATAACTAAGATTAAAGAGAACTCCACACATACTACCTAGAACAACCAGAAAACATTGCAATTATAAAATATAGCAAATGACCTATCTTTAAAAGATGCTGGACAATATGCAAGAAAGGTTATTTGCTTAGAAATTTATAAAGGAGATGAAATAAGATTAGGAATGTGACGTTATCTATGCTTATAAATCTGTTAGAAGTTAAATGATACCTATTTCTTTTTGAAAAGCTGACTGTTCTCCAGTATATACAGTTGGGAGTTCAATACCAATCAAAAAGATTTCTTTTTCTAAGATTTAAGCTAAAGTAAAACTGAGCTGGCTTCCAAGGGACCAATTAAGGAACTTATGCCTAAGCTATATAGGATTCTTTGGGGATTTGTAAATGTTTCCATTCTAGTTTTCCAGAGACAAAAATATAAAAAGGAAAAAATCGGAGAAAGAAGTGACCTGTGGTATTTGGCTACTACTCTTCCAACTGGCTCATTAATAAAGGTTTTCAATATTTAATTGATTTCTACCCTAAAAACTACTACTGAGTTCAATGGCTGATCTTCTATGATCACAAGGTCACTCCTCAACACATATACATTATTTACCAAGTCACTAATATAATGGTATTAGATGAGATAGGAGAAGAATCTGATGCACTGGTTTTCACTTCAATGGGCGATCCCTCAACACCAAGGACAGAAAACAGATGCACGTGAGTTTATTTAGAGATATAGAATTAGCTCAAGGAAGAGATAGAAATGAATCTTTTTGGTTACTGATTACCAGGAAAACAGTTATCTTGTACAGTTACCATGACCTTGATTTTAGAGTTTTTCTAGGGGTATGACATTGATTTCAGCTAACCTGTTAGAATTTTTAAGTTTCTAGGGGCACCTGCATAGCTCAGTTGGTGGTTAAGCGTCTGCCTTCTGCTCAGGTCATGATCTCAGGGTCCAGGATCAAGCCCCAACAGGGCTCCCTGCTCAGTGGGGAGTTTGCTTCTCTCTCCTTCTGCTCCTTCCTCTGCTCATGCTCACTCTTTCTCACTCTCTAATAAATAAAAGCCTAAAAAAAAAAAATCTGTTTCTCAAAACTTAAATCAATCAGGGTAAGAACATTTCTTATTCTCAGAAAGGTGTGTACATGCATATATCAAAGGAAGGAAAAGTGACTGCCTTCCTATTTTTCCTACCTTCTGAAGTTTAAAAGTTAAATTTTAGGTATCTCACAAAAAAGTCTACAGTGCAATCTAGTGAAATGCAAAAATAAATGAAAAAACTATTTCTCAAGTGAATATTTATAATTTATAAAGCCATTAAATAATTGTTAGTAAACCTGATTCATGATGATAATAAAAAAGATAATTAGTCATATATAAAGTCCTTTGAAGGAAAGTGTTTAAGATTGTGATTCTCAGATTCAGAGATGATAGGGCCTGGCTGTAAAATACTTCTCAAAATCGAAACTTACCCAAAGCAATGACATTATTCTTGCTCTAAATTGGGTTAAATCAATACCAAACTTCAATGTGTAGGGGGTAAGGGGAGTAAGAAAGTTGTCAATCTAGGGGTGCCTGGGTGGCGCAGTTGATTAAGTGTCCCACTCTTGATTTCGGCTCAGGTAATGATCTAAGGGTCATGAGGTCGAGTCTTGCATCAGACTGAACACATGGGGCCTGTTTAAGATTCTCTCTCTCCCTCTGCACTTGCCCCCCACCCCACTTGCTCTAAAAAAAAAAGTTGTTAATCTAGGCTAGTAGGAAAAAAATTCAGAAATAAAGCAAAACCTGTAACCAAACACTAACTTTTTATAAAAATGGTTGAGGTTAATACTAAATATTAATTGAGAGTTAATACTTACAAGATAAGAACTGCTGGGCTAAGTAGGGGACTGTTTTATTATGGTCTTCATTTTATCAATATCAAATCTAGGAAAAAAATAAGAGTGAAGACTTTAAAAATTTGATTACATTATGAAAGTTAGAAAATTTTCAATGGGGTTGATAATCATGATTTTCTGATCCTTATACAGCACAACCACAGATTATAAACACCCAGCAGCATTTGTATATTTTAGTCCAGAGCAGCTTAATTTCTTAATTTCTCTTCTTAATAGCTTCTTAATAGTAATAGCTATTACCTTCTCAAAGTTTAAAAAAGTCAAATATGTAAATGCAACTAAAACTCATACTTCAATGTCTAACATGGAGCACACTGAGCTCTTAATTTCTTTTCTCCATTACTATTACCTTCTCAAAGTTTAAAAGTCAAATATGTAAATGCAACTAAAGCTCATACTTCAATGTCTAACTTGGATCACACTGAGCTTCTAGAGGACATCACACAATTGCAGATATTTTAAGATAAATTCAAGATCATACCTCAAGACTGACCAGTCTTTCTCTCAGGCATATACATACACACATGTACACAATTGCAAAATCTAAAAATCCATATATTGCCCAAGAATTCTACTGTGAAACAGTATAAATACAGAGCTTAAATTGGGGTTTCAAATGCTTAAAGATATGTTGGAAAATAATGTTATGATCTATAGCCATAGCAATAGAAAATACTATTATGAAATTACATGAAAAAATGCAGGAGTAGTGATAAGAAAAATTGTTTCCAAGGTTGTTCTTTATTTACAAGAGCAGGAAGTATTAAAAGCCAGTATGCAAAGAAAGGAAACATTACAGCTTATCTTTAAAATTGAAAAAATTGAAAAATATACTAATTTAAACTGGCTAGAATGTTTACTTTCTGTGGGCCATGACTATAACTTGTAGTTCTTACACTAATTAATGCTTAAGCACTTACTACAAGATACACAATAGAGTAAGTAAAATAAACTCATCTATGCTTTTAATAGAGCATTCTAAGTACACATCTTATTGTAGAATATCTTCACCAAAATAAAGACAGTACAATTTTTGGATATATTTGAAAAAATATCTTAGTAAAAAATATCTTAGTAAAATTGAGTATACATAGGCTTGAACCTAACAATCTAAAATCCACAAATCTTCAATCTAAACAATCTAAAATCCTAAAAATCTTCAAATCCACAGAAAAATCAAGCCAATACCAAAATGAATCCCCACATTCTACCCGTGGCCTGCTGACTGAATTCTAATATAGTACCATGCTTATTTTGTTTTATGTGTCTTTTTTTAAAGAAAAAAAGACAATACATATAGTTGAGTCCTTTCTGTACCATCCCCTGATCCCATTAACCTTCCTAACATAAAATCACAATCTTGAATTTGGAATTTATTTCCAATGCACGCTTTTATACTACTACTATTATAAATTCAAGTACTTAAAACATATCATTGTTTTCAAGGTTTATTAAAATGTAATATCATATATACACATTCTATAAATGTTATTATATAATACATATCCTTTTGTAGTTTGTTTTTGCTGAAGACATTCATTCATGATCATACACAGAGCTCACTTTAATAGCAGTATAATAAACAGTTCATCATATGACTATGCCACAATTCACCATTCTCCTGTTGCTTAATGTTTACAGTGCTTTTGATTTTTTTTCTATTAAAAATAAAAGTAATAAGACTTTGTCATACATGTCTCAGTTTATCTAGAACATCTACGAAATGGAATTGTTAGGTTCAAGCCTATGTATACTCAATTTTACTAAGATATTGTCAGATGCTCCCACAAGGAGCATATGAAAAGTTCATTTTCTCCAAGATCTCGAAGTACATTTAAGAAAAAGAGCCACTATCTAGAGGAGTATTTTCAAAATTCTTAAGTGATCAAATCCTTCTGTTTTTATCAAGTGTAGGTCTAACATAGGTATACTAAATGTTTTAAACAAAAGAGACTAAAATTTGCCCTAAGGTACCTGCACAAAAATAAAGCTTTCATGATAGAGATTTTCCTCATATGACTGAGGAAATACCAAGACTTCATCTAGAACTACTGTGGTAGAAATGATAAGATTCAGCATTAGTTACTAAGCTTAGATCCGCAATGACCAAAGAGGGTAGGGGGAGCAGAAAATATAAATGGTTAATTATTGTGAAGAATCCTCCCCCATTTCATTTTGGGCAGTGCTCCTCACATGTGGTGCTTCTTAAAAAACTCACTTGGAGCTTGTAAAAAATACAAATTCCTGAGTCCTAGGGCTCCAGAGACTCTGATTCAGCAGGTCTGATAAAATGCTTTGTTCTTCTAAGTTATTCTGGTCCACAGACACTTTAGTAATTCATAGTAAAAACAAGGTGTTTTAAATATAAAGGATTTTGTAACTCACTTTTTAATTAAGAGAGGTAACTAATTAAAATGTTACCTGTTAAATTACATCAACATGAATTACATCAAACATCCTGGTAATAGCAAAAAAAAAAAAAAAAGTTATGGTTGAGTATGTTTGACACTTCATGTTAGACCAGGTTTTAGGCTCATTTATTATTTCAGGTAAGCACATACTACAACAAAGCTTGTTTTGATAGTATTAGGAGAAAATTCATATTCTGAATTTACTGTTATTGGAAATGGAAAACATTAAGAGTGGGTGTGATTAGTTGTGATTTTAATGAAGGTAACCAAGGAAAAACAATGATTACCTTTTTAAAAGAATGCTACTGCAAATGTCAAGACTTTAAAGTGGGACATTAGGTTTATACACTAAAAATGTCATTTGTAGTTTTCCACCTAGAATGCTACAAATAAAATTGGAACTTTAATAGCAATTTAATATTCACTTCCCTGTAACTACGACCTATTGTAATTTTATTCAGGTACAAGATGAGAAAAATGCACAGATATTTAGGTTATGCAAATATGTGCAAATTCAAATTGTAAAAATAAAAAAAACCCTATTTATATTACAAAGCCTTATTTCCAGAAGATTTAGAATAATCTTTATTTCTAGATATAAAGTTCAGATATACAACATTTTAATAGAAAATGTGAAGACTTACTGAGTTTCCAGCTGTAGCCTGCTTTGTGATTAAATTAAACACTAAGCAGTATGGGGTATTCTTTTTTAGTTATAGTGAAATCAACAAGAATTTGGCCTTGTTTAGACTAGGCTACAAAACAAAGATAATATAGGCCCAGAATATGGATCCAAAGTGAAAGAAACACTCCTGTGTGGCCACAGTCAACTTTTCTTTCCTTAATATAACACCTAACTTGTGCTATCCAGTAACTAATAATTTTTTTTCAATCTACCAGCTTAAAAGTGAAAAACACGAAACACACCAAACATACTTCCAGAAACAAGAGGATTTTCCATTCAAACAGATGGAATTAACTGATAAAAATTAAATGAACTAAAACCACACAGTACATAATAGAAAATAATGTAAGTCTATGAGCTATAAGCAGAAAACTAAGTTTCCTTTATGCAGCTTGGAAGAAAGTAACTTTTTGTCAAAGAATATATTCATTATACTATATATGGGTTATAATGACAGTTGGGCCCTTCCTACCTGGTCTGTAAAAGCTCCTGCAGGCTCCTTTGGCCACCATTATTGCATACTGATGCTATTCTATGCAACAGCTGACAAGCAGTAGCAATCTCCCAGTCCCTGTTCCCAGCTGTAAGGGACAAGAACAAGGGCTGTGGTGATACTTGTTTATTCATTGTTGTTGCTGCTGCTACTGAAGCAGCAAGTTAAGAAAAGCATATGCAACTGACACAGAAGACAAAAATGACTCTAGTCCAACCTACCTAACTGGTCAGCTTTCATCATTCTATGATAAAATTGCTTAAAGAGAAATTTTTTCTTTAAAAATTAGGATGGGAAGAGAAGAAGAAAAGACAAAATGAATGTTCTGATCAGAAAGGGAACCTATACTGTATCTAAGGAAAAAAATTAATGACACTTGTAATGATCTTCAGCTCCTAGTTTAGATTTAACTCAATTATCAACATTCTCAGAAGAGTTTTAACAAGGTTTGGCATGAATTCATAAATCTGTATTATCTTTCCTATCCACTCTACTGGAAAATAAGTACCTAAACTTTAATCAAGAAATGAAATTATATTTTGCTTATAAAAAGTTCCAGGCTCCCAAGTTCCACATATCTAATCATCACCATATGTTTGACATCAGATCCTATTAACAAAGAAGTAAGATTTTAGTCCATAAATATTTAACAAAAACTCCAACCTTTAAAAAAATTCCTTCTTGTAATTTATCTACTTTAAATGTGTACTACAAAGCTAAAAACTGAGTATAAGTACATAAGATCAATGATGAGTAACAGAGAAATATTTATTCTGTCAAATTATCTTTAAATTTAAATGTGATATTAATTATAGATTTATAACTTCAATTTTAAATGCAATCTTTATCCTTTAATACCTTAGGCAATTTTTGATTTTGAAAAATATTTAAGAAGTCAGAAAAATTAGGAATCTATAAATTATTTTTAAAACACTAGAATTGGCTGATAAGTCTAAATAAGATCTAGTCAAGAAGGCTAGATTTGGGATTTTTTAAAATAGAAGTATCAAATACAGTAATATTGAAAATTCAGATCAAAATATTTTGGGAAAAAGGGGAAAATATTTTATTTTTATAAAAATTACAAAAACAATTGGTCTGCTTAGCAGCAGTCCAAAACCAAATAATGCTAATAAAAATAAAATAAATAATTCTGAGGATTACAGGATAACAAAAGTACTAAATATTTTTATTATGAAAGCCAGAGAATGGAAAAAACTGACAGCAAATATCAAAAAAGAATTTTTAAAAATTAAGACATTTATAAAACAGTAATAAATTAATAAACTATTAACTAGCAGATTAATCAGTCTCAGGAACTACATTTGAAACACACTGCAAGTTTCTCTTCCAAGTGACTCTCATCATGAAACAAGAAAGCAAAACTAAGTCAAATCATGTATGTTAATGAAATACCAAGTGTGATTTGGGGTGCTAAGGACTGAAATTCTACTTCAAAATATTTAATGAAAAATTTAAATCATCTCATTAATTAAATAACACAGTTTGAAGATGCTTAAAAAATAAAATTCTGAAAAGAAAAAATAGATTAAGTATATATTTTATTTGTTGGTCAGAAAATAACCCCAAATATATACAAAATTGCTTCAAACATTTAAAAACATTTTAAGAAAGTTAATTGTCTATTCTTTAATGATTCTCAGCAACATTAGAAAATCTCAATAAAGGAAGCTGTTACAGCTGAGAAACTGCAAATATGTTGTCCTTATAAACTAGAATTATGCATCAATGACTAATAATGAATAATTTCAAGTCCCTTCACATGTAGACATGTTAAATTACTTCTGTTCTAGTTTATCCAAAATATTCTTTTCCCCCAAGAGTAACTATTTCAACAAAACAGGAACACTGACAGTATAGCTATATTTTAGGAACAATTAAGAATTTTTTCTTGAGAAAATGAATGTCATTTAACCCAGAAAGTGCATTTAACCAAAAATGTAACTGCTGCACAAAAAAGAAGTCTATCAGTGAAAAAAAAAAAATAACATAGTAAAACCTTTCCTCCAAATCGTGACATAATAAACTACTTATCAAGGCTTAGCTAGATATAATCAGGTTTGCAAATTTAAAACACTCAAAATCCTTAGAAAATGTCCTTTAAGGGGTAAAGGCTAGCCAATCACGCATAGCAGTAAAAGCCTTTATTAACTTGTCTCCTAAAATAACATACACTACTAATTAGGTTAAAGTTTCTTACTCTGTAAGAGCTGACCAAATACAAGAAAACTATTAATATTTGCATCAAGTCTCTTAGATGTTAAATTATTTAGGAAGCTAAAAATCTGGAAGTTTATAAGCCAATATATAGCTATAGAGGGATGATTTTATGATGCTAAATGTCTGTGTTCAAACAGTAAGTTTTGACAATTTTGAAGATCTCAAATCATTAACACTCTAAATCAGAAAGAACTCTGTGGATTTATGTCTTTATTTAAAATATGAATTCAAAAGCTATGTTTATTCCTCCCTTTAATAGTAGGCTGTGTGTAAAAGATATCTGGATTGAAAGTGATAAACTGTATCTAGTTTTTTTTTTTTTTCCCCAGACACTCAGAAACCGTATTTTTCACTTTTCATCTTAATGTTGTCTAATCTGAAAATCACTGGTTAAATCGGGGGGGGGGGGGTTGTATTCGATTTGATCCTATTCAAACTAAGCTGCTTTTTCATAACATTCTCAAGTCTAAGTTATAAAGATATTCTATACCTTGTATTTATCTCGAGCAATATAGTGACACTTTACAGTATGATGACATCAATACCTGAACGTCACCCTTACATTAAACTGATTTCTATTAAATTTTAACATTTTATGTAACATTAACTGTTAGTGGATTCATATTCCTGGATTATCTAATATCTAATAATAAATATCAAATATTAGTTTTTAATATTTTGGTATATATCTCAATGTTCAAACACACATTAGAGAATTTGGAAAAAACTGAACGTTGTTTAAAGATACAAGCAGTTCTGTGACCACAATTACACTTCGTTCTTAAGACTAAATTACATTTTTCTATGAAAATAAATCTTTATCTCCCATATCTAATATGTATAAAGTAAATATTTTTAGGTGAAAAAAAATTTAAAGAAAAAACTGTAGTATGCTCTATTTTAGAAGACCTCACTTTAGCAAATAGTTTTTTTTTAAAATTATGGTTAGTACTTTATCATGAGACTAATATTTTTAACATGGAAAAATTAATCAATACTTAGTAATATTGTTCAATAAATTCATTTATATTATATTAGATCACTATTTAGCAATCAAAATTTTTATTAGGTAAGTATCTGAAACTTTCAACTAAAACTATAAAAACGAAAATAAATAAACTAGAAAAGTGGCTCTTCTGATAAAGTATTTTGGAGGTAAAAATAAGTTACTGGAAGTTTTGGCAGTTTACATTTTTAGAGTTGCAATTTTTCATATTAATAATTTAAATATTTTACTCAGAGTATTTATGAGTAAGATAGTAGTTTCTGCTTAAGAAAGTGGGTTTTTCAGTTTCAACCAAAATGCCACTTTTGGTTAGGATGGTATTTGGAATACTCTAAATTCTCTTAAAATAGTCTAATCTTATCTAATCTTACAGGCTTTATCTATCACTATACCTGCCAAAGAGTTGAGAACCAAATTCTATTTGATTTAAACCTCCCATTTTGAGACGGAAAGTCCTATTTAATTCACACATATATATATAACCTTAAGAAAAAAGAAAAATCACTCTATGTACTTATTTTTAGAATAACTTCAATTGGAATTGGACCTAATAAAACATAGTGAGACTATCCATTATATTTAAAAATGTGGAGTTTTAATAAGCAAGAGAAGTCCACTTGAGCCACTTCACAGATTTCTATTAATAAATCTTTATTGATTTTAGATCACTTAAAAAAGTTCTAGCTTTACTGTCTAGTCCAATTATATTGCAAAGATATAAAATATTACCCTTTTAAAATTCGTTAGTATACCTTAATCTCCTATCATGTTCCAATGCATTATGTGAGTGTTCAATCAAAGAAGTTAGGTTGTTCTCCAGAATTGGCTCTCTCCTAAAGGTCAAAACCTGCAATAAAAATGTCATGTATTATAGCATGAAGACACTCAACAGATTTCCGCCTCCTGAAGCTCCACAATTGATTCCTGAACACTGAGGTAAAATCTTCAAAATGACCCCAATCTTGCCCGTGTTCAAAGAAAACCTAACTTGAAAATAATGTTTCTTAAGTAGAAATAACTTGATTAGAAACACCTGTGATATGCTTTATCATCTGAAGCCTCTTCAAGCAAATCAGATTAATATGTTTCTGCTTTCATTTCTCTTTAGGGCATTCATTTTCAAAGTTGTGCGTGTGTGTGTGTGTGTGTGTGTGTGTGTGTAGGTAAGTATTGGAGGACATTTAAAGGGGACTCCATAAAGAATATATCAGAAATACAGTTTGTGCCTCCAAAACTCATAAAATCCATAGTTAAAAAAAACTATTCAAAGGATAGATTTTAAACTACCTTTCTCCCCAAATCATCGAATATTTTAATGATGACAGAAATTACCATTACTAAGTTTTAGTCTTTTGCCTTGCCTGTGTGAACAAATTATACTGATATTTCTGAATATTTTAAGACACTATGGTTCTAACAGAACAAAATTTACAATTAAATTTTTAAGCAAAATATTTATTAGTAAAAGTGGATGGCTACTGGGCCAATGGTTTTTTTAATATTTCCAAATAAATGTGGTGTAATCAAATGTATTCAAGAAGCTTCTTCATTTGTTCCACCTGAATCTCAATGATATAGCGGCAATCAACCATCTAAAAATACAAAGTTTAGTTAAATTACCAAAGGCTTGTAACATACTATATGTTAACCATAATGCTCAGAGCTTTCTACTTTTATTTAAGGATAGCTTAGGAAAAGATACGAAAACCAAAAAAACTTTATTCCTCTGCCGCCAAATAGTTGACTGTTTAATGACAAAAGCTACACAAATGTAACTGACAAATACCAATCCAAATACCATGACACTTTTAAAAATTAAAGTCACTTCCACACAGTCTTCCTCAAAAGACACAAAGTTTTCTGTATTTGAGCACTCTGAAAATTAAGGTATCGTAACTTTAAAAATCACAGAAAAATAGTAGAAACCAGTATGTACTCCATGCCAAATGTTAAGTTTTTAAATAGCAGAGAAACAGCAAATACTAGATAATAAAGAACAAAAGACGTTTGAATGTAAGACAAATATTAAACCAAATGTGTGTAAGAGAAAAAGATGTAAAAAAACCCCCTGAAATAGTATAACTCAATGCCAAATCTATTACAAAATACAGTTTATTATTTAACTTAGAACCCAGGGCAAAGTCTTTTCAGTGCAAAGATTTTTTAGTGAAATAAGACTGGAATAAACCAAAGTATATTAAACTTCTCATAATTTGATAAAAAATGTTAAGAATTATATACATAATTTCAATTCCAGTATTTGAAACTTGTCTTTCTAAAAGGAGATCCTAAAAGGAGACAGAGAAGAGGAGAAAAAAAGGCAAAAGAAAATCATTTCCCTATACGAAAGCAATATTTATAGGAAGGCTTTACAATTATTTGTATATGCAAACAGACAAATATACAAACATGTATTAGTAATGTGATATTCTAAAATTGATGTTACTCTTAAAATATTAAGACAATCACAACTTTAAAGTTCTAATACTGTCACTTGTAAAAATTTAAGCAAAAATGGCTTAATCTAATTTTTGACACTTATTTGAAAGAAAGTGTTGGTTATTACTGATTTCCTTTGGTCTTAAAGAGATTTGGGGATACCAAATTTCAGCAAGTCATAGTCTGAGCCTAATAACATGCCAGAATTAGTTGCCTGGCCAGTGTTTCTAAGTTTGCTGAGTAAAAATTAATAATAAGAAATAAAACTACATGTAAATGAATAGTATGACAATTCGAAGAAGTGTTTTCTAGTTGTAAGACCAAATAACCTGTTTCTTCCCAAAAAGGGTTAAAAAAAAAAAAAAATCACTGTGGGAATTACTAAGCTTCACTAAACAAAAGGAAAAAAAAGGCAAGAGCAAATTTAAGGCCATTAATTTTTTGAAATGAGATAAATTTTTATAGAATAAAATTTCAAAATATTGTGTCTGATTCTTTTTAATTGGAGAAAACTTACGTATCATGTAGAAGAGATATCTAATAGTCTCTGGGCATTTATTTTTTCTTTTAGTAAACCAAATTAACTGACCAATATCAGTATTTCTAGATGAAGTACACTGTGACATTCTGAATAGTAACTGCATACCAATAAACAGAAATGTATATTTACACACGTTTTCACAAAACAAAAACCAGACAAAAATGTAGTACACAAAGCATGATGAAACAGGGAATCCAGAATACGAAAGCTATTTTGAAATTTTCATCCTTAGTTCCAGTTCTTGATAACGTTAAAAGTGATATTAATTTGATCAGAAAAAAAATGTGGTGCTACATGTAAACACCTGAGGCTGCATTTTGTAAATGTACAACTAAGACAAATTAGCAGCATTAAAACAAAGACTAAATTGCACTTTTATTTGGAGTTTTAAAAATACTATGAAAGGCAAACAAATGAAAATCAGTGCTACCCGGAAGACAAACACCTTACCTCCTCTAGTTCCCTCTCCCTCACATTATATAAACTTAGCTTTTAAAAAGAGAAGAGCTACTGTAGCAACACCTTTCCCCATCATTATTTTCCAGTGATAATATATGACTTTTCTAGTCCTCACAATAGAAAATAAATTAGAATTATCAATTTCCAGAGTAATATGTGTAATACACATAACAATAAAAAAATACAACTGTTGGCTGTCATACCTACATGCCCACAAATCTAAAAACCCAAATCTTCCTCTTATCTAGCATCACAAGGGAAAATATCTTGAACGCTGTGGATTTTATTTAGGTGCTAGTGCATTCTCAAACTTTAAGTGTAGTATTTTAAATAAAGGAATCCTTCACTTCTTTTAAAAATGGCTTATTAAACAAAACAATTCTTCACCATCACCCCTCAAAACAAAAAAATCCCATAAACCAAAGCACTAAAAAAGTAGGGTTAAATTTAACCAGGCTGGTGGAATTTAAAGTCTTTTCCCACCCCACCCTCAGAACTCTGCAAGTCACATAATAATTTGAATGAAAATTAAAACACAAAACCCCAAATAAAAATTAAAAAAGCAAAACCTGCTAGACCTGGTATCATAGATAAAATTACATTTACAATAGAAATGGGGTCTCCTACAACTTCATTAAGTCAAATTTTATAGAAAGGATAATTAGCACCTTTCATGAAATTTTCATGAGATGATTCAAAATAAACAGCTTTGAAAAAAGGTAATGAACAAAGATTCTGTAATTGCAATTCCTGTTATAAAGGCAATACACAATAGTATGATTTACAAACTCAGCTATTCCACTCAATATCTCAATATAAATTATATTTATAACCCTACAGAGATTTATAAAAGTCGTGGAATCTTTTCATTTGAGTATTTTCTAACAATGCATATTTGACCTAATATGAAACCATAAACTGTAAGTTTCAAAATTTCAACCCCTATTCATAAAACAACATTGATTTCTATTAAATTCAAAAAAATATTTAAAAAAGCATCTGCAGCTATTTTGTTTATCACTGAGTTTACCGATTTTCTTTGAAAACCACACCCGCCTTTTATCAAGATGCAATTAAACGGAATGACAAGCTTGGTAATAAATAGAAATATATTGACGGCTGTCTCAAGCAACATTAAACAAAAATCAACTGAAAACCAACCAAGTAAGACACAACACACCCACACTGTTGTATGCATTATATTTCTTCACAGTGAATTTATCAAAGGAATGAAATCATACATGGGCACCTGTGCATACTTACCTGTTGTACTGTTTAAATTATGCAAGATAAATTTCTTATAAATAAAGTTTTAAGTCCACAGCAATGGCTGAATTAGCAAAATCCATGTATTTTAAGTTAGATGTGAAAAAAATTTAAATACATCCAATTTTTATGCAGAATGTGGAGAAGCTCATTCCTAAGAAAATTAAAGTTTCTTTTCATCAAAATAAAAGAAACTATTCTCCCGTAATCTCCATCGAATATGTAGCTTAAGTTGAAAAATTTCTGTCAAAGAAATAAAAAACCTAGATCGTACAGTCAGTTTTTAACCAAAAAAGAACGGGGGCAAATACGTTAAAGTCTTGCAATTTCAGCCAGCAGAATTAAAATTTTTAAGAAAAGTGACTCCTCAGTTTTACTTTTTAATATACATTTCAGAACCATTCGAAAGTCCTTTATGGAAGAAAAAAATATTAAACTCCAGCTCACCCCCCCCCACCAACGGGGACGTCTTAACGTTTCCTATTTCCGTGTTCTCTAAAAGTATAATTTTTCGGAAAGTCGAGAATTGTAATCTAGTGTTCAACATTCAAACCCCCCAGTCCCGCTCTCTTCCAGCCAATCAGGGGGGTGACAAGTCCGGTGGTGTTTTGGGAACTCCGTTAGATACATTTTGAAAAACATCACATTGCGCTCTCCTATTCTCCTCGGGGATAGATTCTAAATGAGGGCGGGTCCTCTAGTCTTAATAGAAATAAGAAATCGATCAATCGTTACAACAATTCCAGGAGGAAAAACACTTTAGGCAGGTGGTCCTAAAGAATGTAAGATTGCGGGTTCCCAGAAAGCGTTATTCCTCTTTGCGAACAATTGAACTGCTGCTGCAAAACCCATCTCCTGCATATTCGCAACCCAGAGCCGCGCGCCCCACACGCAAAACACCACACCAGCAAAGGGTTAATCAGTGGTGCCTTCAGCGCAGAAAAAGACTCAAAACCTAATATATCTTTAATGAGGAATTTTTACAAATGCCATTATTTATAAAGTACTACTTAAAGTTAAAGCCGTCACCGGCCCAAATCATTCAAGAGTTGTCGGCTAAGAATTGGTAGAAACTACGAGGATAAAAAAACCACTAAAGGGAAAGACAAATAACAGCCCTCTTCCCTCCGCCTCAGAGTCAAGAGAGTTCCCGAGAAAAGGTGGGGATTACAAAATTACCGTTAAGTTGTCCGGGCTAAGACTTTTCGGGAGGAAAACATCAATAGTTTCACAGATTGCTTTTATCCTTGCGACATGTTTCAAAGACTGGAGAAGGAAAAAGTCTTCTAAGAAAAGTGCAACTGGGTGAAGGAAATTGCAAGCTCGAAGCCCTGTCTCCCCCCGCCCCCGAAAAAACCAACACCGTGAGAGCAAATGACAAAAATCCCGAGCAAAAAGCGAAAGCCCAGCATCCTTCCTAGGAGCCCGCTAAAACCTCAAAAGTCTGCCTCCGCCCTATCTTACCCAAATTGGAAAAGCCAGACATCGTCAGGGTTACCCCTGTCCGGACCCAGGAGCGCGGAGCCGGAGGGCTACGCTGTGAAACTCAACATTCCTAGGGCACCCCACGCTTTGGCGTCAAGCACAATATACAGTGCTGGGTCCTGCAGAAGGTAGGTCCACACGACGGACTGGAGGCACCCGCCACTCCGGGTTCTTAATTTTCTGCCGACCTTAAGTTTCATGTCACGAGAACGCGGCACTCAGCCCCGGCCGGGGAAACTGCGATAAAAGACGGCTCGGTTCGGCAAATGGGGGAGGGGACGCTGGTCCCCCTTCTCCTGTCAAGGGGCCGCGGCCTGCGGAGCCCCGTCGCGCCCCGGGCCCGGCCCCGGGCGGGGGGTCCGGCTGACAGATCCGCTGGGCGGCGGCTGCTCCGCTGCAGCCCGTCCGCGTCCCGCTCAAACTGCAACTCCCCTCCCCCCACGCCCCCGTCTCTCCGCGCTCCCGCCACATTCCGCCCGCCGCCGCCCACTCCCAGACACCCAATTACCCCCAACCCATCTCCTCGCATTTTTAGCAATTAAAATGAGGGCGGACGCAGTGCCCACTCCCAGCACCCCCCCAACGCCTGACGGTCCCACCACTGCCACCTCCCAGGTCCCGCTATTACTTCTTCAGGTTCTTACCGTCTGCGGCAACCCTGGCGAAGCCCCACGGACTGCCCTTTGGTCGAAGTAATTTTTGGCGATTTTTTTAGAGATTTTTCGGCGGAGTCCTAGTAGCGCTATAATCTCGGACAGGTTATCCCGTCTCTCCCGCTAGATTGATGAGATCAGGCATCACTCGAAAATGGCGCCGAAAGCGCTGAGGCTCCTCATTCAAATTCGTTAGAGCCAACCCCGCCGCCCCAGGGCATGCCGGGAACGCGGGCTGCCTACACAGCTGTCAATACCGCCTCCAAACCCTTCTCCAGCTTTCCCTACACTTCTGCTCATGCGCAAACTCCTACCCCAATATCCGCGCCTTGAACATGCGCAGAATCGTCGCTGTTCGCCGCTCTCACTTCTTTTCCTCAGTCTCACTCCTCCGGCCTCCTTTCTTGCGCGTGCGTGCAACTCCTTTGCTCAGCCGCAGACGTGGAGGAACCGTGCGGTTGTGGGCCGGGGGTCCATAGATGACATGTCAGTCGGTAGGTATTTATTCTACTGTTCGAGGAAAACAAATAAGGGTGCAGCTTAGACGAAAAGAAACACGTTTTATTGCCAGTGTCTGAACTCCTAAACAACGGAATTGTGTATGGATACACGTGTACTTAAAACAGCCCGGTGTGTGTGTAGACACTTGCTGTATGTCAACGCTTTACGGGAGTTATTGCACCTAAGCCTCAGAACAACTTTATGAGGTAGGTACAGTTATTATTATCGGTTTGCAGACCAGGAAAGCAAGGCTCAGAGACTTCTAAGTAATTTGCCTTAGGAGACACAGGCAGCAAGCACGTGGATGAGTCCCCATCTGTCAGATTCTGGAACTTGGGCCACTTTGTATCCCGCTGTGCCATGCAACCTGAGCTCACACAGGCGTGGTTTCCCCTGCTCAACAACTGTGTGTGTGTGTGTGTGTGTGTGTGTGTGTGTGTGTTTGAGAATTTGAGAGAGAGAGAGAGAGATGTGTGCGGTGTATGCGTGCGCGCGCGTCCGGCGTTCAGGATTATTTAAGTGTGTTGGAGCTCTACTTCCCGGTTCTAGACTGCCTGTTGAGTCGGTGCTTTCATCCAGTCCAGTTTCTCTTACAGCCTCACTTGTTCTTAAACGTTTTGCTCTGTTTTGGGTAAATGAGCAGTCTTTGGCCATCACTTTGTGTGTGTGAGTGTGTTTGTGTGTATTTTAAGGGTGGTAAAAGGAACTGAAACTATCAAAGACGGGGTTCCACTGTGCGACACATTAATAAAATAATAGATAGAGATCACGTACTGACTGTACTCTGGCTGGGCACGGTAGTAAATAAATGCTTTACGGACTGATCCTGTTTGCTGCTCACAACAACCCCATTAAGAAGGTATTATCGTCATTTTACACATGAGGCATCCGAGACTCAGATTAAGAAATTTGGCCCTAAATCTTATAACTAGTAAGTAGAAGCACAAGACCTAGACAGATCTGTGCTCACCTTCAAAAACTGGACGCTAAGACAGGACAATAAATGATAATAAAATAGGCAGTATTTTAACACCTTCCTTAAAAACGTCTTTGAATCATTCATATGCTTGGGAGCGTTATCCTACCCGCCACCAGGCTAGTTAAGATGAAAATGAAAACAATACCACTGCCATTGATTCTAAATCATGACATTTTAAATTTATTTTTGGTTACTTTTTTCCTGATCCCAAGTTAAAATACATTTTCTAAAGAATCCAACAATTTGAAATCTGGGGTCTTGCTACATTTTTTTCCAGTTTTTGTTGCAAAACTTGTGATGAACCTTAACTGTAGGAGTATATAAAAACATATTATGAGGGTTAAAGAAGACTATGGATATTCAAAGTGACTTACTAAGTAAGGAAATGGGAGAAGGCTAGCATAATTTGCATTACTGAAGTAGAATTAGAAAAGAAAAGGACTTTAGTAATTTGAGATCATCAAGAAGTAACATTGCAGAGTAGTGTTTGTCTTACATCTCTATAGTACTTTTGTGCATTGGTTAGGTGTGTGGACTCTGGAACCAAACTGCCTTGATTTGGAACTCAGCTCTCTTACTAACTAGCTTTGTGACCCTCTGTGAGTTACTTTTTCTCACTTTGATCTTTTGAAAAGGAGTAACCATTTCATGAGGTTGTTGTAAGGAAGTTAATGAGCTAATATGTAGTAAAGGCATTTGAACAGTGTTTGGTGTATTGGTAAATGTTATTGTGCGCCATTAACACTGATCTTTTAAAATAGCTTCTTGTGTTTTAAAAAGTTTTAAGTTAGCGCCATTAGGAGTTAAGCTGTTGTGTTCAAAAGTCCCTTAAAGGGGCGCCTGGGTGGCTCAGTCCTTAAGCGTCTGCCTTTGCCTTGGTCCTGGGATCAAGCCCCACATCAGACTCCCTGCTCAGCAGGAAGCCTGCTTCTCCCTCTCCCACTCTCCCTACTTTGTTCCCTTTCTTGCTGGGCCTCTCTCTGTTAAATAAATAAATAAAATATTTCTTAAAAAAAAACAAAAACAAAGAACAAAAGTCCCTTAAAATGACAAATCAGCCTGACAAATTATTTTTGCCAAATATGAGTAATGGTTTCTGCCAGATGAGTAAGAATGTTAATTTGTCTTATCATTTCATAAGAGTATCATACGGAAATGGAATAGTTTTGCTTTTTCTAATTATTAAAATTAAGGGGGGAGGGGAAAATCAGTCCAGTCTAAAATATGAAGTAAAATATAAAGTAAAGACTGTCCAAATTTCTATCATCCAGACATAAATACATATTCTTTGTTCCTTAAAAACGTATCTGTGGTGAGAATTGGCTAGAGGTAGTCTGGAATAAGTATATTTGAGGAACTTATTTGCACGATTGTACTTGAATTAAATGAACTGGTAAATTTTTGATCTAGCCCCCTTTTAGATATATTCTGTCAGGAGAATTCTAAAATGGTGATGTTGTTGGTAAGTAACATTTACTGAGTTCCTACTATGTGTCAGCTAAGCATGTATATGCATTTCCCCTTGAATTCAACCTCATAATAACACTTGGGGCTGGTGTATTCATCTCCATTTTGCAGACTAAAGTTTATATGGTGGTTACTTTTAGAAGATTTAAGCCGTGTTTGGTTTAAAATACAATTCAACAAACCAAAAACCCTTCATAAATCTTCTCAATTCACCAAAATGGGAGAAAACAAAATCAAGTAACATGGTTGCCATGCCTGAACAAAAAGCCCAGTTGGAAAAATGTTTTGAAAACCCAGTTTATATTTGACCACAAGGGGGTGCAAATAATTGAGCTGAATTTTAAAGGGAAAAAAAGTGCTTTTTACTTCAAATTATCAAATTCACAGGTAAAAACTAGTAAGAATACCTCCCCCAAACTTTAATACTCCACATATTTATGTACTTAATGAATAAGTCAGTTATTTAGGTACTCAATTAGGGCAGAAGTTTTCAGCTTTCTTTCATCTTCAACATGGGGAAGAGTTCATTAGCCCTAGCCCCACTCCTTACCCCATTTGTGTCTCTGCATACTTTACTTGTCATAACAACAGAACTGAAGTTATAATTTAAAATCTGAGGTTTTACCTGGAGACTGGAATGCAATCACCAGCTAATGAATGGTAAATACGGGTAGTGTGGAGAACAGAGGTTTTGTAATTTCAATGCTTTCTTGCCTTCTTGCTGTTTCTAATGAGTAAGCTACAACTGATGAAATGTTGGCTTCAACATACTAACTTATTTAGATAAAACTGTGAAAGCTATAGGTCTGTTCATCTTTTACAAAAGAGTGAAGACTCTTGAAGAAAACATTTTGAACAGTAACTTGAAAACTTAGTATACATGGGAGAATGTTTTAAAGACAGTTTGTTTGGGCGCCTGGGTGGCTCAGCTGGTTAAACCTCTGCCTTTGGCTTGGGTCACGATCCCAGGGTCCTGGGATCGAGCCCCACATAGGTCAGGCTCCCTGCTAGGCCCCCCCTCTCCGCCTGCCTCTCTGCTTACTTGTGCTCTCTCTCTTTGTCAAATAAATAAATAAAATCTTAAAAAAAAAAAAGACAGTTTGCTTTGATGGGTTTTAAAGTAACCCATTTCTTATTGGTCTTGTTTCTCCAAGGTGGACTTAATTCTTAAAAAACTTTTTGACTTAGAAATAATTTTAAATTGACTTGGTTGGTTAAGAGTCCCATTCATGATTTTGGCTAGGGTCATGATCTCATGGATCCTGGGATCCAATGGGGAGTCTACTTGAGATTCTCTCCCTTTGCCCCTCCCTCCACACTTGCACATTTCTCTCTCTCTCAAATAAATAAAAAAGGAAATAACTTAAAGTTTATAAAAAAATGCAAAAATTAATATAGTTCAAAGAACTTCCTTATCATTTGCTTGCTCTTGTGTAAGGTCCCTCTCTTACCACATACATGTATACTTTCGTACATTTTTTTCTGAACCATTTGAGGTTAAGTTACATACCTTTTGGCCTGTCACCCTTGAACACTTAAGAGTATTTCCTACCAATTAGGGCTAGGGTTAGGGTTAAATTTACATTGAAATAATACTTCAGTCTACCACTATATTCCAGTTTTGTAGCTTGATCCTTACTAGCATTTCCCCCTCCAGTACAGGAGTCACTCTGGGGTCAGGGAATACATTTAGATGTCATGACTCTTTAGCTTCCTTTATTTTGGCACATTTCCAGCCTTTATCTTTTATGATCTTGACCTTTTTAAAGAATATAGCTTTTTACTCCATTGGACTTTTTCTTTCTTTCTTTTTTTTTTTTAAAGATTTATTTATTTGGGAGAGCGGGGGGAGTGCCTGAGTGGGAGGAGGGGCAGAGGGAGAAGAAAAGAAGCAGACTCCCACTGAGCATGGAGCCCAAGGCTGATAATCTTACAACCCTGAGACCATGACCTGAGCTGGATTAACTGTGGGATCCACCTGGGCACGCCTCCACCACTCTTTTTAATAAAACGTTCCTTATTTTGTTTTTGTCTGGTGTTTCCTCATGATTAAAGTGGGGTTATATATACTCTCAACTGGAGTATTGCACAGGTGATACTGTGTCCTGTGTAGTGTATCACTTCCGGAAGCACATGATCCATCTGTCCCTCCTTGGTGATACTACTTTGATCACCTGGTCCATATGTGGCCCAAATTTTCCATTGTATAGTTACTCTTTTTTTTTTTTTTCTTCCTGGTATTAAAAAAAACAAATTGTGGGGAGAGATTTGAAGATACATCCTGCTCATCATCAAAATCCCCGTTTAAATTTAGCATTGATTATTGCTGATATAATTTTGCCATAATGATTGCAAAATGGTTCAACAAATCTAATACTCTCTCCACATCTACCAAGTAGTCCACAGCATTCCACTGTGAACAAAGAGCCCTTTCTTCTCTGTTTATTATCTGCATTAACTTATGAATTCCTGTTTTTCCATTGTGTATTTGTTTTTGTTTTCTTGAGTTCTAGCTATAATTTTGTACACTTATTTATTTATTTATTTTAAAGATTTTATTTGTTTGACAGAGAGAGACAGCGAGAGAGGTAATACAAGCAGGTAGAGTAGGAGAGGGAGAAGCAGGTTCCTGGAGAGCAGGGAGCCTGATGTGGGGCTCAATCCCAGGACCCTGGGATCATGACCTGAGCCAAAGGCAGATGCCCAATGACTCAGCCACCCTGGTGCCCCTGTACACTTTTTTAAAATCAGTCATTTGAAGGTAAGTTGTTATGTCATGACCTTTCACCTCTAAATATTTAAGTCTGTATTTAATTATTTTGGTATTTAAATTGTCCCAGATTAAGCTAGTGGGAGCACTTTTAGTTTGGGTACTGTGTCTTTGTGATATGCCTACATCATTTCCTTTTTTTTTGAGCACTTCCTTATTTTCTGGTATAATAAGATGTTCCATGTTCATCTTGTCCTTACTCTGCGCCAGCCCTGGAATTAGCCTTTTCTCTAAGGAGTCCTGTTTCCTTTTAGTACAGAATGGTACTAGAGACCAAGGATAGGTATGCTCATGCTAATGAAGTGTTTCTGCTTCTTGGATCTTTCATATGACTGCACTAAGAAATATATACATACATACAGAATATTATATATACAAACAAAAATGTACATACAAACAAATGTGCATACACTTACACACATATATTAATGACATGGGCTTCATTTTACATTATCTTCATTATAATTATAACTGAGAAGATGCCATAGCAATTTACAAAATTCTTAATAAAGGCAATAAAATCACAATCCACACAAACCACTCATACAATTTTCATGTTCTCTTTTAGTCAATATCTATACATATAAATTTTAAAGGGTCATAGTGTGAAATCAGTTTTATCTTTTTCCACTTAACATGTTGTTAGCATCTGTGAGTTACTGTATCATTTTATAATCTTCATTCTAAATTGCTAAACATGCTACATGTCATTCAGCAGATTCTACCATTCTTCTATTGCTGGACATTTAGGTTGTTTCCAATATTTTGCTATTAAAAATAATTCTGAAGTGAACATTTTTATACATATACCTTTTCTAACTGACTTTCTTATTTATTTGCTTATTTATTAGAAGATTTCCCAGAGGTGGGAATACCAGTTCCCACAGGTAGGTATGTTTTGATGGGTTTGATATGTTTTGGCAAACACATTTAATCAAACAGTTACCAAAGCCCAAACCAGGGTTGGATATATAGAGATGAAAAATATGTAGTCCCTGCTGGGAAGAAACTGAAAGTCCAATGAAAGATAGATAAATTCTCTAAAAATGACAATTAGAGAAATAATAGACAAAGAGCATTTAAACCAGATTAGGAATAAGTGGCTCAGAAAAGCTTTTTAGGACTAGAGCTATATCTCTTTTTTTGTTTTTTAAGATTTTATTTATTTATTTGACACAGAGAGAGGGATCACAAGTAGGCAGAGAGGCAGGCAGGCAGAGAGGGAGAATTAGGCTCCCCGCCAAGCAGAGAGCCTGATGTAGGGCTCAATCCCAGGACCCTGAGATCATGAACTGAGCCGAAGGCAGAGGCTTAACCCACTGAGCCACCCAGGCACCCCAGTAGAGCTGTATCTTGAGAGGTATCTTGATGGAACCTAAAGGGACTAAGGTTATTCGAGTGTGAAAGAGAGTAGACATAGGCCAATGAAAGCATTTTAAATATAATCGTTGCACTGTAAGAAGACAGAAGTCAGGAAGAACCTGCATGTTCAAGAAAATTCAGGTAGTTTATATGATTTGTTGCTACATGACTTTGGAGGAGTTGAGGAGGTTTGGCCTAATCAAGTGGATAGAAGTAACCAATGAAGGGTCTTGGATGTCACCTTTATAAAATGCACTTGAAAAATCTCAAACCAGTGAGTAAGATACTGGATGCTGGAGGAATGCTGGGGTGGCTCAGTTGGTTAAACATATGCCTTCGGCTCCACTCATGTTCCCAGGGTCCTGGGATCAAGTCCTGAATTCGGCTCCTTGCTCAGCAGGGAGCCTGCTTCTCCCTCTGCCTGTAACTCACCTTGGTTGTGCTCTCTCTCTCTCTCTCTGTGACAAATAAATAACTAAAATCTTAACAACAAAAACAGCAACAACAAAAAACCCCCCAAAAATCCGAGGATACTGAAGAATAGATGAAAAAATGTGAGAGTAATGGTTGAGTCCTTCAGAGGCTATTGTAGTTATCCAGACTAACAATAAAGAGTGCTTGAACTAAAGAAGTAGAAATGGGAGTGAAATCAAGTACAAAGGGATTGAATTTACTCAATATTAATATGTAGGTATTTCCAGGTAACTAGCACAAAGTGTCAGGTATTGTTCAAGGTATTGAGCATATTAGTCATGGCTCCTCCTGTTGTGGTATAGTCTCATGAGAGAAACAATGTTTAAGTTAATAGTTTTACAGTTTACAACTGTGGTAAGTACTGTACTAGAAGAACACAGATGCATTGAAAGCATACACTATGGAGACCTAACACTGGAGGTTTAACTAAGGCCTTCCTAAGGTGGAATGGTTAAGCTGAGACTTAGGAATTAGCTAGGCCAAAAAGAAAGGAAGAACATTCTAAGCAAAGAGTGTATATTATCATCCTGAGCAGGAAGGACTGGTAAATTCATTGCCCATGTGGCTAGAGCGGAGTAAGTAAAGATGGAAAAAGTTGGAAGGTTAGACTACAGAGAAGGTTTAGGAGGCTTTGTTTATGGAGAAGAGAGGAGGAGATATGTCACAGGACTCCTAGGTTTCTGGTGTGGGCAACTGAGTGGCGATGGATGCCATTTCCTGAGATACAGAAACTAGAACAGGTTTGATATATTGGTTTTGAGATGCCTGGTGGGTTAAGTACATCTTCCCATCCTTACTTACAGATAACTAGATAGCAGGATTGGATTTTGATTTACAAGTCTGGAATTTAGGAGAAAGGTCTGGTTTGCATGTTGTCTATAGATTTACTAGTTGACCAATTATAGATGGTCATTTAAACTATGGGCTTGGATGAGGTCACCAAGGTATGTGGAGTGATAAAGACGTTCAACACAAAATCTCAGAGAACATTGTCTGGTAGCTACACAAAAAATAAATACACAGGAAAAAGTTCACTATTAATACAAAAGATACATGACAAACTGAAAAATATTTTTTAACTTATAAAGCAGATAATGGGTTAATATACTCAATGTACAAAGAGATAAGTCTATAAGAAAAATAGAACAATTAACAAATACACAGTTAACAAAAGAAGGGAAACAAATACATTAAAAAATTAATGAATATTTGAAAAAGCAAAACCTGAAAGTGAAAGTAATTTTAAGTTTTCACCATCTATCTCATTTTTACCAATTTACTTTTTAAAATCAGTAATTGAGGACCTTGTTAAGAGACTGGAGGATGTTAAAAAAAAAGAGAGACTGGAGGGTGTTGATGGACTGATGGATCACATAATTCTTATAAATCTATTTTTTAAAGTATTTGTTTCTCTCGTTCATAAAAAATTAGATCCCAGTTGTTAGCATGACTTTAGTTGTAGAACTTGAGAGATATGGAAAATCCAACTGTATGATCTTAAGGTATCCAGAGATATGCAAAATGAACTAAGTAGTGATGAAAATTAGCTATAATCTTAGTGGTACATGGAAGAATTAAGTTATGTGTAATTTGAATCTGGGTTATATGTCTGTAAGATCACCTCTTTTGGGGGGCTCTGATAATTAACTTCAGTGCCTGGCATGGTAACTCTAACTTGCTTGAGTTGGCATTTTTTACCAGGAAGTCAGAGTTTTAGCCCCAAAAAGATACAAATTAAATGTAGAATGATTTAGCAAATCAGACATATCCTATTACAGCTTAGGTAGGAATGATCTATATACTTTAAGTTCTTGTAATGTTTAAGAAAATTAGGCAAATATCAATTTATTTCAATTAAAAAATAGTATTATGAGTGAGTATTATGGAAGCAGTCAGAACAGATTCATACATAGCATTTTCAACTCTGATTTAAGGTTAGAGAAGTATAAAGGATTTTCTCCCCATATGAAGAACAGTTTTACTTCTATAGTCTTGAGCACAGATTATAAGGCTGATCTAAAATTCAATTACAGTTAATAATGGTTAATATTTATTGAAGAAGTATGAGTTCCCCTCACTCTCTTTACCAATAAGGATACCTGGAAAAGGATAAACCAACTGATTGCAGTTATCTACTTTCTAAAGAATTCGTGAACATGCTGTCTTTAGATGAAATATTGAATACAATGTTTTGGAATGTTTTTAAAAATAATAGGTTTGGAGTCATAGAATCTTAGTAGTTAAAACATGTCCTTTGTAACTGCTACCCATTTTCAAAATACCCCATGCAGCTACTGAGAATAAATTCATTCCCATCTATGTGTGATAACCTTTTAAATACGACCACTATTTGGGCACCTGGCTGGCTCAGTTGGAAGAGTACAAGACTCTTGATCTCAGGATTGTGAGTTCTACATGTTAGGTGTAGAGATTACTAAAAAAATAAAGAAGGTTAAAAACATAAATATGGGGGCACCTGGGTGGCTCAGTCATTAAGCCTCTGCCTTCTGCTCAGGTCTTGATCCCAGAGCCCTGGGATTGATCCCACATTGGGCTCCCTGCTCAGCGGGAGGCCTGCTTCTCCCTTGCCCATTTCCCTTGCTTGTGTTCCCTCTCTCACTGTGTTTCTCTCTGTCAAATAAATAAATAAAATATTTTAATAAATAAATAAATAAGATTACTATTATCTTCAACCATGAAGGCAGCTGAGTCCTTGCCCCCCAAACATCCTTACTGGCTCTATGATGTTAAACCCTTCACCATCTTGGCTTTCTTCTGGTTATGCGCCATTTTAATAGGGCCCCCTCTCAAAAAGTGACACACCCAGAACAGTAAATCATATACCATATATGGTCTGAAATATACCCAGTGTTAGTTAACTTTCTGTCCTAGCCATTAAAATGTTTGTATTTGGGGAACAGTTTAAGATAATAAAAAGGACTGGAAAATAATAGAAATGGATCTCTATTGATCCTTTATCAAAAGAAAATTGAAGGGTTTTAATATAATAAACTTCACATTGAGTAAAAACTTTTAAAAGTTTTAACTCATGACCTTCTCAGAGACTTTGACGACTTGGGGCAAGCCTTGTCCTGAAAGTTGAGGACAATGAACCAGGAATCTATTATCATTCATTTCTTATTTATTTTTAGTAAACAGAAGTAAAATTGAGACCCTCTGGTCTCTAGGAGATACGACTATGTGTGATGAGTTAATGTGTGATGAGTTCTCTATGACAGTTGAACTTCATGCTATATTTCAATTCTTCATGTGTAAAAAATTATTTCTTCCTTGTAGCACAAATCTATAGGGAAATGAGAATAAAATGTAACACATTCTTTTCTGGCATAGAAATGCTTATGTGTTTAAAACAAATTAACTTTTTAAGGCAGCTCTGAAGAAGTAATTTATTTTAAATAGGTGAACAGTTTACGGCTCTTGTGGGAACACTTTTTCCTCACTTTTTCTTCATCATAGGATTAGGCCCTATGTTTTTAATTTAAGTTCTTTAATTTTTGCTGTTAACATGTAATTTACTTGATGACCCTATTCTATTAACTTTTGATCCACTGAGCCCAGGACGGTATATACAATACATATACATAATTTTAAGGAAACTCTTAAAGAAAAAGAAGTGGTTTGAAGTATCATACATACTAATTTTTTCCCCTTTTGGGAGAATGTATTTTATAAGCATAGGGTTTTCTTTAACAATTAGATATTTGGGGCGCCTGGGTGGCTCAATGGGTTAAAGCCTCTGCCTTCAGCTCGGGTCATGATCCCAGAGTCCTGGGATCGAGCCCCACATCAGGCTCTCTGCTTTAAAAAAAAAAAAAAAAAAATTAGATATTTATGCCATTAGGGAAACAACCAAAAGCTCATGTGACTTAACTGCAATATTTTTAATAAACTGCAAAACTACTAATATATTACGGTGGATACAAAACTTTTCCTGACAAGAAATTTTTTTTTTTTTAAAGATTTTATTTATTTATTTGACAGACAGAGATCACAAGTAGGCAGACAGGCAGGCAGAGAGAAAGGAAGGGAAGCAGGCTCTCCGCTGAGCAGAGAGCCCAATGTGGGGCTCGATTTCAGGACTCTGGGATCATGACCTGAGCTGAAGGCAGAGGCTTTAACCCACTGAGCCACCCAGATGCCCCCTGACAAGAAATTATTTTAGCATGTGACCAAACCTAATAATCCTCTCATTGACCTTTATTTATACACATATTTCCTTTAAAAGGAAAGGAATGTAAAATTGAAATTTCCTAAAATTTAACCCTTTAGATATAAAAAATGTTAGTTAATACAGTTGTTAATTATGATAGAGTTCAAAGCTTCTTATAAATCACTTGATGTAAAAATACTTCTATTTGCCCTTGACACTAGACCTGTGTCTGAGTCTGTGGACTCACTTTTGAACATCCCCCCAGTTATAAAATACTTGGGCATTAAACAATATTGAAAAAAATCAGGAATGATTTGGGAGGCATTGTTTCTGAAGGCCCCTTAACAATATCCCACTTTACTCTCTTTTCCCAACTGACAAAGGAAGACTCTTTCGTTTCTTGGTATTATTGAATTTTATTCATTTAGCATTATTATATATTATACTTGGTTTTCCTTCTTCGGGAAAATTGCAGTTTGTATCTTGTGGAATAGGTGGTTCCATCTTCCAGGCATCAGAAAGCAAAGTGGAAAAGATTTGGGGAGGCAGTGGGACCCCTCTGTTCTACCTGTGCCACACTAACTTTACTACAAGGGTGGCTATGGGGGTGCGTTCACTTTCATAATTTTGGAAGCATGGATAGGTTGAGTGCTGTTTAAAACAGTAGAATAGGATATGAAAGGAAGCTCAATTTATAGGGAAAACTCAGTTTGTTATTTTATCTAATTCCTAATGTGATATATGTTTATAGGTATGTGTGTGGTATATGTTTTAAAGAAATTCTGGTGAACTAACAAGGTATAAAGTTATGTCTTGTTATATAAACTTAATATGAATCCTACTATTTATTTAACTTTTAATATGCAGCTTAATGATTATTATGGTTACCTTTAAGTGTGCCACGTTTACCTTATTTAAAAGTGAACAGATAGTAAAGCAGTAACTGCTGTGTGATAAAAACTTTGGCATGGGGGTATAAACAAGGCTTCTGAACTCTGGGAATAGTGGAGGCTATTTATGTTTCTGTGTAAGCCTTTATGGTTTGTTAATATGGTAACATGGTTGTAATTTCTTAATTTAAATCCTAGGGGAAATGTAAAATATGCTCTATTATTATCATCACATATTATTATATATAGTAATAATTATTACTTAAGTAAATGGAAGTAGTTTCACATGGTTTTACAGTCATGGGGGCAAATAAGATGATTTTGGACTAGGGTAGTAATGGATGGGATAGAGATGAGGAAGAATCTAGAATGACTTTCTAGTTCCTGTCTTGGTTATAGAGTACAATAGGGGTAAAATTAACCAGGACAGAGGCAAATGGAGAACAGGGATTTTGGCTTATGAGTATGTGTGTATAAGGATGTGGAATAGAAAACTGGGAAAGGGGAAGGAGATGAGAAACTCAATAAAGACATATTGAATATGGAAAATTGTCACTGGGATATCCATATAGAGAAGTTCAGTAGGGAGCTCATCATGTGCATCTGAGGCTTGGGAGAAAGGTTGGAGCTTGAAGCAGATATCACTAAAAAGGTAGTAGTTGAAATTTTTGGGGAATTGGATGCTGTTGCTCATAGAAACTGAATATAGTGAGAGGAAATGAAAACCAGCATTAGTAAATGGGCAAAGTAACAGAAGGCAGAAAAAAAAAAATTAAGAGTAAATCACAGAAGGGTGGAAGGGAGCACCAACAGAGCTCAGTGTTCTAGAAGCCAATGGGAGGACTCAGGAAAAAAGGAGTCAGGAGGATCAGAAGATACAGATAGGTCAAGTAAATTGAAAAAGATAATAGGATTTGGCAATTTTGTCATTGTAATGTTTGCTAGAATATTTTCATTGTGTTGATGATGGCAGAATTCTGTGTTGGGTTGAAAAGTATTATATTTATTTTTAAAAAGATCTTATTTATTTATTTATTTATTTATTTATTTATTTGCCTGCAAGAGAGTTTACAAGCAGAAGAAGCAGCAGGCAAGAAGGGAGAAGGGGGCTCCCTAGCAGGGAGCCCGATGACTGACTCGATCCCAGGACCCTGGGATCCTGTGAGCCAAAGGCAGATGCTTAACCAACTGAGCCACCCAGGCATCCCGAAAAGTACTTTAAATTGAGAAAAGTTACAATAGATTTATATTATTTCAAGGCTTTTTACTTCTTCTTCAAAACAGGAATAACAGATCACTATAGAGAATAGTTTGTAGAATTGAGGAGGAGATTCTCCAGTGAAGAAAGTTTACTATTTATAAAATGTGGGCAGAGATAGCAGAAGAGGAAGAAAAGAGATTAAAGAGAAGAGGGATAAAGATAAAGAAAGATCTGTAGGAGATGAGGGAATGTGGGATCAAGGGAGCAGTAAAGAAATTGACCTGGAAAAAGAGATAGGATACTCCTCCCTGAGATGAGAAGAAAGTAAGTAAAGATAGTTACATGTATAACTTGTAAATGTGGAACAAGAAGGTTAGGAGGTTCACAGCTTACAGTTTTGACTTTTTTTTTTTTTTCTAATAAAGAAGGTGTTAAAGAAAAGGGCATAGGTGAAGTAGCACGTTTGAATTGTAGTAAAGTGGCATAAAAATATATGCTCTAAGGAATGGGAGAGGGAATTAGCCAGGGGGCAAAGTTATTAAGAGAGACTAAGCTAGACAGGAAAAGATATGAAGTCATGCTGAAGATCGTGGTTTGAAAAAAAGAAAAGGGAATAGTTTAGGAATAGAGGCTAAAATAAGAAAGCAGGTGTTAAAGGAATAAGGGAGTGAAAAAATTGGAACAATAAGTGATTGTGGTCTGAGATCAATAGTATTGAAGTCTAAGGCTGTGGAACAATTTCCTAGTGATCAAAGGTTGAGAATATGGGTCTGGGTATGGATCACTGAATGAAGTGATTGTAAGCTGGTGGAGTCAGAGTTCAAGGTTGTTGGATGGGTTGTCCATGTGGACACTGAAGTGGCACACGATGGCAGGAAATGCAGATACTGGAAGTCGGGTGCCAAAGTCCTCTATAAATAAGGGAGGGAATGACTGGGCAATTAAGTTATGAGAATGAAAAAGAGGAATAATGAATTCCAAGATTGCTGAATATGCCCTTTTTGCCCTCACAAATCAAGTGTCACGAGAACAAGGACTTGCCTTATTTAATACTGCAAATAATTGTTGATTAATAGATAGACAAATGATGACCTCTTCATTTTGAGTAAGTATTCATATTGAATTAGTATTTTTGGAAACTTTGGGTGTTTGTTGTTATATGCAGTTGCTACTAAAGAATATACAACAAGATGAACAAGATGTAGAAAAAAATTAATAATCAAAACCCAGGGGGCGCCTGGGTGGCTCAGTGGGTTAAAGCCTCTGCCTTCGGCTCGGGTCATGATCCCAGGGTCCTGGGATCGAGCCCCACATCAGGCTCTCTGCTCAGCGGGGAGCCTGCTTCTCCCTCTCTCTCTGCCTGCCTCTCTGCCTACTTGTAATCTGTGTCTGTCAAATAAATAAATAAAATCTTAAAAAAAAAAATCCAAACCCAGAAATAACCACTATTAACCCCCTTTTATTACATTTTCATACCTGTTTGTTGTTCATCCTAGTAATAAATATTCAGCTATAATATCCTTTAATGGCTGAGTAGGTATTCCAAATAGAATAAGTACATACCATAATTTAAGCAGTTTCTTATTGGGGGTACATTATATATATGTTTTTCTGTTTGTAAATGGGATAATCTAATAACTACATTTTTGCTTTTTTTCCTTAGGATGCAGACTTACAAGTGGATTTTCCAGTAGGATCTTTCCAATTTTAGTATATGTGCTGCCGAAGCGAGCACTTCCAGTAGGATCTTATAGCCAGCCTATTTTTCTTGTTTTTGGCTAATTTCTAACAGGCTTATTAATGTGTATTCCTATTCTGTCCTGCATGGGAATCAGAAAATTGGACAGTATTGTAGGTACTTAATGATGTAGGCATGCTGATAGCCACAAAGTGAGAATTGGTAAGTAAAAGCCCTTTATAAGAATAATGATGGGTATTTAAAAAACTTGGAATTAAGTGTAGTTTTCATGAGCACAATAAGAAATGATTCATAACCTGAATAATAGGATATAGTGGTCAGTTCATAAATGCATATTATAATTAAATTAAAAAATTCTATGAATAACCTACATTTGTGACAGCATCCAATTTTAGGGGAGGTTTTAGTAAATCATGAATAATCATCAAGTTCATGGCTTCTCGAACTTTTTCACAAAAGTGTGGTTCATACTACAGAAAAGTGAAAAAAGTGCCCTAGAAGCTTGATCCCAAACTAGGGTTTTCTTTTTCTTTCTTTCTTTTTTTTTTTTAAGATTTTATTTATTTATTTGTCAGAGAGAATGAGCACAGGCAGAGGCAGAGGGAGAAGCAGGCTCCCTGCTGAGCAAGGAGCCGGATGTGGGACTTGATCCCAGGACGCTGGGATCATGACCTGAGCCGAAGGCAGCTGCCCAACCAACTGAGCCACCCAGGTATCCCCCAAACTGGGATTTTCTTAAGTTTCTTGTTTTGTCTGAAATTTAATATAAATGTTGCATTATATATAATAGTCCTATATTTAGTATAAATACAATACTTATAAATTTTTTCTAAAATCCCTGAGTAAAATTAATATCTAAGAAGATGCCTCATGTTTTATTCAGTAGCTTTTAGCACCCTGGCATACTAAGTTTCCTTTGTCTCAAACTGGACTTTTAGAGCAAAGTTCTAGGCTATTTGATGGTTGTACAGTATGCTCCTTTTCAGTTTTCTCTTTTACACTTTAGCCCAGGCTATTTATAGTAGTGTATGGTAGGGAGTAGATTAATTGATGATTACTTACTTTGAACCTGAGAGTGTTTCAAAGACTCTGAAGTGAAAATTTAATATCATTGCCAATAGACTGCAATACAAAAGATGTTAAAGAAAGTAATCCAGACGGAAGGGAAATGATATCAGATGGAAATACAGATCTACATAAAGGAATGATGAACACTGGAAAAGGTAATTGCAGGGTAAATGTTTAAGCTCTTTTTACATTTAATTCTCTTTTAAGCTAATCAACTGTTTAAACAAAAATAATAGCAATGTATTATGGGGTTTACAACATGCATTAGTAAATATATGCCAACAATAGCATGAAGACCAGGAGGAGAAAAATAGAAATAAGATATTATAAGGTTCTTTTATTATATCTTAAGTGGCATAAATTCACTTGAAAGCAGACTGTGATAACTATGTAGACTATAAACCCTAAAGCAACCAGTAGAATAATAAAACAACTGTTATAGGTAATAAGCCAACAGAGAAGAAAAGAATGGAATAATAAAATAATCCAAAAGAAGGCCGAAAAAGAAAAAAAGGAACAACAAATAGAGGGAACACAGAACAAATGAACAAATAGAAAATAGCAAGATGAGACACTTAAATCTAATTATATCAATAATCACATTAAATGTGAATGACCTAAAAAACCCTAATCAAAGGGTAGAGATTGTCAGATTGGCTAGAAAGCAAGACTCAACACACTTTAAGAATGTTAAGAATGAAAGGATGGAAAAAGATATACCATGCTGATGCTGACATTAGTCAAAAGAAACTAGTGGGGTTGTATTAACATAACAGAAACAAAGTAAGATTTCAGAGCAAAGAATATTACCAGGGTAAAAGAAGGTCATTTTATAAATAAAGGAATCAGTTAATCAGGAGGATATAACAATCCTAAATGTTTATGCCCCAAATAAAAAGGTCCAAAATATGTAGAGCAAGATCTGATAGAACTGTAAGGAGAAACAGACACATCTATAATTATAGTCAGAGATTTTAATACTCCCCCTTCAGTAGTTGCTAGGATAAGTTGAAACAGAGCAAGGATATAGTAAACTCAACACCATCCACCAATATTACCCAACTTTCATAACATTCCACTAATGGTAGAATACACTTTCTCTTTAAAGAGTACATGAAACTTTTACCCAGAGGCACCATATTCTTGGCCGGGGTTAGCAAACTATTGATTGTGGGGCCAAATCTAGCCTGGTTTTTTATGGCCTATAAACTAAAGATGGTTTTTGCATTTTGAGAGGTTTCTTAAAAAAAGGGAAAAAATATGTGACAGGAGAAACTGTATGTGACCCACAAAGCTTAAAATATTTACTGTCTGACCCTTTAAAGAAGTTTGCCAGTCTCTGTTTTAGACTATAAAATATGTCTCAGTACATTTTGGAGGATTTAAGTCATGAGGAGTATGTCTTCTGACCACAGTGGAATTAAATTAGAAATCAATAACAAACCTAATTGGAAAATCCCTGAATATCTGGAAACAAAATCACATGCTTCTACATAACCCACTGATTAAAGAAGAAATCCAAAGTGAAATTACAAAGTATTTTGATCTGAGGGAAAATAAAAATACAATATATCAGAATTCACATAAACAAAATGCCTATGTTAAAAAATACAAAAAGTCTCAAAGCAATGACCTCAACTTCCACATTAAGAAATTAGAACAGAAAAGCAAATTAAACACAACCAAAAGAAATGAAATAAAGGTCAAAGTGGAAATCAATGAAATAGAAAGCAAAGATCAATTGAGAATATGTTATCAAAACCTGGTTGTTTGGGATAAGCAAAATTGATAAGCCTTTAGCCAGTCTGGTTAGGAAAAAAAAAAAGAGAGAGAGAAGATACTTATCAGGAAGACCAATATCAGGAATGAGAGAGGTGACATCATTACAAATTCTACAGATACTTCAAGGATAATAAGGGAATATTATGAACAACTTTAGGCAAAAATTTTAACAACTCAGATGAAATGACCAAGTTCCTTGGAAGACAGAAATTACCAAAGCTAACTCAAGAAGAAATAGATAAACTGAATGGTCACATACCCATTTCTAAAAAACTGAATTTCTATTTATTTTTTATTTTTAAGATTTTATTTATCCATTTGTAAGACAGAGAAAGAGAGTGAGAGCAAGCAGGGGGAGTGGGAGAGGGAGAAGCAGGCTCCCTGCTGAGCAAGGACCCTGATGCAGGGCTTGATCCCAGGACCCTGAGATATGACTTGAGCCGAAGGCAGACGCTTAATCAACGGAGCCATCCAGGTGCCCCAGCAAAAAAATTGAATTTTTAGTTTAAAACATTCCCATAAAGAAAAGTTCTGGTCCACAGGATTTAACTGGTGAATCCTTCCAACATTTAGAGAAAAAAATACCAATCGCACAAACTCTTCCAGAAAAGCGAAGAGAAGAATACTTTCAAGTTTGTTCTTTGAGGCCAGCACTGCCCTGATACCCAAGAAAAGAAAACTCAGGCCAGTTTCCCTTATGAACACAGATGTAAAAAATTCTAGACGAAATTTTATCAGATCAAATCCAAGTATACATAAAAGATAATATTATTTATTGGGTGCTATTTATCCCAAGAATACAGGACTGGTTTAACATTCAAAAATTAATCATTGTAACTCACCAAATTAATCTAAAAAAGAAAAGCTGATCATCTCAATAGATGCAGAAAAAGCATCTGACAAAACCCGATATTCATTCTCTATTTAAAAACTCAGCAAACTGGGAATGGAAGGGTACTTCAACCAGATAAAGTACATCTACAGAAAACCTACAGATAATCTCATACCTACTGGTAAAAGACTTCATGCTTGCCCCCAAAGATCAGGAACAACACAATGATGCCTGCTCTTACCACTTTGTTTTTTAAGATTTCTTTCATCCATCCATCCATCCATTCATCTAGAGTGTGAGTGGGATGAGGGGCACAGGGAGAGGGAGGATCCCAAGCAGACTTCATGCTGAGCACAGAGCTCAACACTAGGCTGGATCCCGTAACTCTGAGATCATGACCTGAGTTGAAATCAAGACTTGGACAGAAAAATTGAGTCACCCAGGTGCCCATGCTCTTACTGCTTTTATTCAACATTGGAGGTTCTGCCAGTATAGTCAGGCAAGAAAAGAAAAAAAATACATTCAGATTGGAAAGGAAGAAATAAAACTGACATAATTATCCATCTGTTCCACTTGGTGGAATCTACAAAAAGCTACTAGAACTAACAGGTGAATTTAGCAAAACTGCAGGATACAAGATCAATATACAATAATCATCTGTATTTCTATGTTCTAGCAACAAACAACCGAAAATGCAGCACTTACAATAGCATAAAAATATGAAATATTTAGGAATAAATCTGATAAAAGGCATGAAAGATCTGTACACTAAAAACAGCATAGTGTTGAGAGGATGTAAAAACAACTTAAATAACCGAGAGATTTACCTGGCTCATTGCATTCATATTATTAACATGCCAGCTCTCCTTAAATTGATTTATAGGTTCAACACAACCCAAAATCCCAGTAAGTTAAAAAAAAAAAAAAAGAAAAAGAAAGATAAGCTGATTCTAAATTTCGTATAGAAATGTGAAGACCTGTAATAGCCAGAATAATTAACTTTGACAAGAAGAACAAAGTTGGAGGGCTGATATTATCTGATTTCAAGACTTATTAAATATCTACAGTAATCAAAACGGAGTGGTATTAATTAAGAATAGACAAATAGGGGCACTTGGGTGGCTCAGTCTGTTAAGTGTCTGCCTTCTGCTCAGGTCCTGATCATGATCCCAGAGTCCTGGGATCGAGCCACACGTTGGGCGTCTTGCTCAGTGGGGAGTCTGCTTCTCCTGCCCCTCACCCTGCTCTTGTGCTCTTTCTCTCACTCTCTCTCAAATAAATAAACAAAATCTTAAAAAATGTTTATATAAAAAAAGAAC